CTAGACTTTTATCGGAAATTCGCCTACAAGAAGGGATTTCGCTATAAATTTGCATTCCAGGATAGCTTGACCTCCTGTACACCAAAGTGGGAGGTGCCAGGCTCTTGACCCAAGGAACTCTACAGATAACGATTTGTCATCGGCTGCAGCATTGCAAAAGCAGATTACAAAGCACCGTAAATCTCCCATACCGCCTGTGCTACCGTTAGCCACTGAGTTGCATGAGCAGGTGCCAGTAACGTTTTCATTCATCCCTGCAATGCACTAGAATTGAGAATGGGTTCCCCGTGCTCGAGAGACATGTTGAACTTCATACAATTCGTTCGGAGCTCTCACGAAGGAATCTACCCATCTCCTAGGCGTTGGCCCAGGTGTTCGTTTGACATCCCGTGGAATCCAGTCGCTATTCGCTTTGATCCAGCTGTCGTCTTCGACAACATAACCTGCCTGGCCCAGCTGATCTTCGGGACCTTGGAAAATGCGTATGCGTCTCTGATCTTTGATCGTCGACGGAGTGCGGAGCTCCGGATTCCCTCTGCCATCTGCGTGTAGCGAAAGCCTCGGGCACTGCCCTTTCAGTTGAATGAAGCTGATCGCATGTTTATGCTTCTGCTTTTAGTCTAAATCTTTCAGGCGTAAGGTAGGGAATAAGAAGAGGGCACGGTCCCACATAAGTAAAAAAGGCAACGTGGGGATAGAATCTGCGGGAAGCGGACAGCCAACTGAATGGTAGTGCCGCCAACACCGCAAGCTCATAACGTCACAGCCGCAGCGCCGGTTCCAGGTGTTTTCGCGCCAAACATGGGTGATGTCCGCGGCCTGCGAAGCAAACTACTTCAGAAATTTAAGTTCTGGCCAAATGTACATCCGTTCTGAGAAAAAAAATCAAAGCGAAATTCCCGAAAATGGGGCAGTAAAGGGCTAAGGGTGAGAAAACTGTAAAGAATCATTTCAAAAGTACCATTTCTTTTTCGCACGACGTAGGTGCTTGGATCGCAGACTTGAACTCTGTGCACCGTTGAAGGTAGTTCCAATACAAACCAGAAGCTAAAACACCAGACAATGAAGTGATCTTATGGCTAGGCACAAAAAGGAAGAAAGTCTGAAAAAACAACGGAAATGACAAACGTGTGGATGCTGTATGGCTACCGCATAAATCCATAAAGCTCAGAGAGCAAAAGCGTCACTGGTGGCGCTACGTTTATCGCATTCGCCCGGTAAGCGTGGGAGGTAGGGCGGTAGGGTCGAGTCCCGCCTGAGGTCAAGACTTTTGCCCATAACTCAGCATTATTGTAACAGTGATATTAAAAAATGCGAGTATGATCAGTAATACAGAATTTAGATGCGACTTCCCCCAATTGACGCTTGAACACGAGAATACGACCCCCTCCTCTCCCCTTTTTTGCACTGGGCTATACGTTCATGGCAGTATAGTTGCGAAATAGACGCGAAAAAAAAATGGAAATACCCCCGCATGCAAACAAAACTTTAAAAACTCTCAGCGTATATCAGCAAAAATTTAGAGGTATTATAAAGCCCCATCCCGGGCTGTACCAACGCCCGTCCCACCCTTCGATGATAAACTGTAGCATTACGCGGGTCGCAGTAAGTAAGCACGCGTAAGTCACCCGCCGCCAACCACCCACCGCTTCTCGCAGCCACCCGCTCCGCCCCCTCGCACACCTGCCACCCACACTCCGACAACCTCATGGCTAGACCAATAACCTAATAGCACTTCTCACCCCCCCGCGCCCCCCCAACCCGCTATATGACTCCCCCTAACCTACACCCTAAGCAGATCTATCATTTCCAGCGAAAGCTGAATCTAACAGTTATTGATGGGGCAATTAACTCTGAAAAACATTCTAACATACGAGTCAAAATACGATGCCAAAGCCAAGTAGGATATCTCTCCTAAGCCAGATCCCCAGCTTGCCACGACAACTCCTAAAATGATTAGTACAGTAAAACTCAAATAGGGACCCAGGCTTGTTAATTTACATACCGAAGAGGGCGAAGGAGACGTTATTGCTCGCAGCTACAAGGATGAAGCTCAACATCTGTGCCATGACAACCAGCAGATGACGAAGCCTGAGAAACAAAGTTCACATATAATTTGATACATACCGGAAGCCTTATGTAAACTGATGTAAAATTATGGTGTTGACGTCAGTAATGTTTGTGAGCAAGGTATGTAGCAAGTTAGGAAATCATCAGCGATAAGTCGCCTTTACACGATGGGGGAGAGGCGAATTCGGCAGAGCATGTACCGGTCTACGAACAGATTCAACCAAATTCCTTTTGGCGCGCTGGATTTCTGTTTTTCTCTACTCTCTCGTCCGCGTGGCATTCTATGGTCATTGTGAGCTCTCACATTCCAGCTTTTTAATTAATTGGCTCACCCACCCCGGAGTCCCTCCCCTAAAAAGCTCGTTCCCTGGCTCGTCATAGTTGCTTGCACGTCTCGATGCTTCGGCAGGCGCTGTCCTCTATCTGTACGCGTTTCCTGGTTTCGCAAACCACTCCTCGCTCTCGTTGGTGGTGCAGTCAAAGTCTTATAGAACCACTAATTTCTATAGTTGTATTCAGTAGTTGTTTGAGTTGTTTAGTGGCAACGCTCACCCGCCTCGCTCGACGGTAGTACTGGGGAAAAACAGGAAATTTTCTCTCGAAAAACGATGATGATGAAAACGCTGGCAAAATGGTAGTAGGTAGGATGGGGAGTTGGTCGCACCAGAGAAGAAAATTGGGGGTCGCATGTGACTACTGATTTTTGATTATGAATAAGTAATAAGTAATAATTTCTGATTGTGGGTCAGTATTGAATTGAGTAATTTCAAAATGAGCCAAAGTTTGAAAAAACCGAGCATTATATCCACCAAAATTATGTCAGGAATAACAAACTAATGACTTACCCAAATGGGACCATGCGTATATATAGAGGAGCAGTAACTTTGACTACGAGAGCAGGAATAATATCCGCTAGCAAAACAGCTCCTGTTGACATGCGCTGGCATTGTCGATCAACAATTGGTTCCTAAATGTGTGAACAGTAACCGTCTCTTCTATCGTCTTAGAAGAAAGGGGCGTATAAACACCGATAGGACCAGCCCCGCCCCTACAGAAGTGCGCAGCTCTACAAAACGAGAAAACAGAGTGAAATGCACACCTCTCCAATCTGTGCCCCCTCACAAGCACAGTTGGTGCGCCGCGATTAGGACTACAATGTATGAGATTGAAAATAACACGTAATTCTTTTGAGCGATGCGAAACTAAGCTTACTCGGCAGGTCTGCGTTAAATTGTGTTTTTCAGCACCACTATCCGTCTCCAATATGTCCTTTGCCGCACTTAACATGACAACATAAGCGAAGTTGTTGCATAATCCCAAAATCCTGAAAAAAGGGAATTCTCTTTTCAAATCAGTGATGGCTGTGTAATGGAGTTCAGTGTGGGAGCGGAATAAAAACCATGGAACCGGTGATTCACTGGTGCTATTGAAAGGTCGTCTATCATAGGCCATGATGTTCAGGGCAAAATATAATCTCTCAAGGTGAAAATATGCCTGAGAAGAAGAATTGAATCATTGGCTGAGGGCTCTAAATCCCACTGTCACGCTACATTGGTTTGGATATCTGCCCATCCAAAAGAAGTGCTTCCTATCCAA